TGGTAGAGTGCTGGCCTAGCACGCGTGAAGTCCTGGGTTCGATTCCTCAGCACCACATACACAGAAAAAGCCAGAAGTGGCGCTGTGGCTCAAATAGTAGAGCACTAGCCTTGAGCAAAAGAAAAGCTCAGGGACAGTGCCCAGGCCCTGAGTTCAGGGCCAAGACTGGCAAAAAAGAAAAAAAAAAGACAAGATCCAGAAGCAAGCTCAGAGACTTCACGAATGTTACCTTCTGAAGGCCTTGGCATTAAGTTCTCACAGGGTCACCTGTGAGGTGTGGTCTGCGGCCGCCTGGCCCCTCTCCCTCTCTCTTCCTCTCTCTCTCCCTCTCTATCCCTCTCTCCCTCTCTCTCTCCCTCTCTCTCCCTCTCTCCCTCTCTCTCTCACTCTCTCTCTCTCCCTCTCTCTCTCTGGGCTTCCACATTCGTCCCCAGCCATGATGAGGGTAATAAAGTTGGAACTTTACTCAAGCCACATCTCAGGACAGAAAGCCAGGGACGCGTGGCAGGTGTTGGTGCCGTGCCCGGAGTGTGAGGCCCGAGGGCTGCGGTGCCGTGCCCAGAGTGTGAGGCCCGAGGGCTGCGGTGCCGTGCCTGGAGTGTGAGGCCCGAGGGCTGCGGTGCCGTGCCCGGAGTGTGAGGCCCGAGGGCTGCTGCCCAGGGCCGGTGCCAGCCTGACGCCCAGGACCTCCAGACGCTGCCCCTAGGGCAGAAGATTTCAAACCGTTCCTCTGTAAATTGGCACTAAGTGACTGACAGTGGAACAGACTGGGAACGGCTTGCCAGATTTTTTTTTTCTCCCTTGATGGAACACTTAAAACACCAGAGCCAAACATGTCACACACTACAGCTTAAAGAAGACAGCATGCAAACGGCGTTGTGAAATTAACTGAAGTGGTGCCGTTCTTAGACTAAAAATAATTGACTTCATTCTGCTTTGATATTTCTGCTTATTTTGAAAGCCAGGCATTGGCCCCTGACGCTGTATCTTCACAGGGAAAAATAAGTAAAATAAGGATAAGGTCCGGCAAACCCCTGGTGGAGGGGCGGCTGGCAGCTTTCCAGCTGGGACCCCAGCGCTGGAGACGCCAACTTTGGGGAGGGGGGTGGCCTGACCTTCGGCCTTAGACCAGGAGACCCCAGATCTGTTCCTCTATCCCTTGGATGAGCCTCAGTGGGACAGACAAATCCTAGATATTCTTGTTCCCGACAAGAAGCCAGAATTGGAGCTATGGCTCAAGTAGTAGCGTGACAGATGTGACTAGCTAAGCTGAGCCCAGTTCAGGTCCCAGACCCAGCACAAGAAATAAAACAAAACACGACAGAGTGGTCAGCCGGTCCCACTCTGCAAAGAGGCCCTCCATTGCTCAGCTCAGCACTGGGGGCTCAGCAACCGAGACAGCCCCCCTCCGGCCTCCCCCATGCTGCGGCCACCCCTACACATAGTGCAGCGCCTCAGAGGGTGAGCCTGGTTGCCATTGGACCTGCAAGTCCACCCCAGAGGGGCCCCAGGAGAACGCCAAACACCGTCCACCCAGGAAGGAGAGCGCAGCATACTGCCAGAGGAGTGGCCCAGCCCAGGCAGCCCTGGCTGGCGGAGCGGAGCACACAGCAGCCACGAGGCCTGGGGCTGTGCTGTGTGACCGCAGAGGACGGTCCCGGCCAGGCCAGCCGCAGAGACACAGTGGGCTAGCCTCGCCAAGCGGGCAGATAGGTGAGAGGCAATGGCTACAGCGTCTCTTTGGGGTGAAAGCATTCTAGAGTGGAATGTGGCAACGGACGCACAACCCTGAGAACCCCAGGCCGCTGCCCTGCACCCATGCCCCGGGACCAGCTGAGCTGTCTCAGAAAGGGAGGCTGGGCGGTGGGCGTGAGGGCAGCAGGAACCCACAACAGCCCAGTGGGGGCAGAGCTGCCCAGCCCCCAGGCTGGACACCCCCGCCTCCATCCTCCCTATGGTCTGGAGCTGTGCGCCAGTCACGATCACATCACGGGGGAGAAATCTCGGCCTCTCTTCCTGGTGACTTAGTGGCGGGTTCCTGGGACAGCCCCAAGTATTCTTTCCACGTGCAAACCCATCTGGACTTTGATCTGAGAGCTCAACTCCTGCTTCCTGTCCTTCCTTGTTCTCTTTGCTGGGGGGGGGGAGGGCTCTCCCTCCCTCCCTCTCCCTCCGTCTGTCTTCCCATTGGAGAGGCAGCCGGGTGGGGGCTGGCAGATGCCCACCGCAGGTGATTGGGTGTGGGGGAGGAAGCAGCGGGCAGGGCTCCTGTCAGTCCAGGACAGGGCTGTAAATAGAGCCGAGGGGTCAGCGGTGCTGGTGCAGCTTGGCCTGCTCTGCTCCCTGCCCTTCCCCCACCTCTGGCCTCTCCCTCTCTCCCTCTCCCCTCCCCCCATCTGTGCCTGGCTTCTCCTCTTACTTCTCCGTGGCTCTTTCTATTCCTGTGTATCCTTCTCTGTTTTAATTTCCTCAAGGTTGGGAAACAGGGACGCAGCAAACACAAAGCTTTAACTCCGATGGAGGGCTTGGCTCCCCCATGGCTTGGACTGGCTGCCCGTCCTGCCGTCCAACAGGGCTGCCTTGGCCAGTGCCCAGACCCATGCGTGATTTCAGTCATTTCAGCTCTAATGGGACCCAAGCTGAAAGCAGCGGGAGTGACCAACAAAACAGCCTGCACCCTGTACGAGGCTGCACAAAGCCTGGGTCGGCTCCAGTCGTCCCAGACGGAACTCTGGAGGGTGCAAGACTGAGGTGAGTTCAGGCAAAAAGCCAGCCACATCCATCTCAGCAAGTACAGGGGTGGCGCTGTGCTTGTCCCAGCTCTGCAGGGGCCACAGGCAAGATCTGACCTGGGAGCCGCTCTGGGCAAACACACAGGGCTCATCCAATGGCAGCTAAAACAGAAAAGGGCTAGGGCTGTGGGGCTAATGACAGACCACTTGTCTTGCAGAGGTGAGGCTCCGAGTTCCAACCCAAGAAATACAAAAGAGTAAGCCCTTCAGGTCTTCTCCTGGATCCTCAGGACCTTTGCTTAGAATAAGGTCTTTGTGGATGAAGTAAAATCCAGGATGGAGGTGAACTCCTGGACTAGGTCTTCAGTCTAATGAGTGTAGACCCCACAGAGACAGGTACAGACGGGGGTGGGGGGGCGGAGACAGGTGCACACCCTAGGGAGCTGGCTATACACTGGCGAGCAAATCCCAGGGCAGCCAGTGTAGAGCAGGAGGCCGGGTCACAAAAGGTGAGCCTGATGACAGCCCAATAGCAAAAGAGTGATAATAAAAACACCCAACTTACAAACACCCCCTATGATTGGGCTCCTGACTGGGGGGGGTGGATATGGAAGCGAGCATGCCAAGACTCATTAGTGCGGGAGCCAGCGGCACTGGCTGTCCAAGGTAGGTACATACTGTGAGAGGTTGTTAATATAACCACACAACGCACACAAATCCTAAAACACTGGAAAGCTGGGGTGAAAGACGGCACGTCACAAAGGAAACAGGAGAGCTAACACCTGTGGCTACTGCAGGAAGTGCGGCAAAGGAACAGGATTAGAGAAATGGCCTCCCTCAGCGTGCCAGGAGCTGTCAGCTGTGCCCGGGCAGAGCGGGCCAGCCAGCGCGCCGTAGCTGAGCACTGTCGGCCCAGCACTGTGGCAGCAGCATGGCCCCCAAATGTGCTCAGGCCTCCCTGTCCACACCCGCAGCCCCTAGGCCAGAGGGACTAAAGGGATACAGAAAGAGCACCCTGAAATACCAGGTGCACACACTGGCTGCAGGCCCTCCCGCAGGGGAGAAGCTGGCTCTGCCCCCGTGGGTGGTATGTGCCCTGTCCCTTCCTGGGCCACCTGTCTGCCCAGGGTGGGCCCGGTCACCTGTGGTACAGTGATGGCTGCCTCCCGCCCGTCCTCCCTCTCGGGCTCCTACCCTAGGCCTTGGACACCTTCTCTGAGAACAGTCTCCCAGGACGTACCTTGTTCGTGGACACACTTGTGGCCCAGCTGCTCTGCCGTGCATCCAGGTTCGGTGGAAGGCCGGGGCCTCGTGTGCTCATGTGGAGGACCGGCGGATGTGGCCAGGGTGCTGCCCCCAAGGGCGGCTGCCGGTTCCCGCAGCGGGCATCTTCCCCTGCCCGCCCACCCTCCCTGGCAGGGAGACGTGCTAACAGTGAGCACCTGCTGCGCAGGCCGGCGGACGGCCGCTGTGCGGCTCCCCAGCACCTGCGTGGGGAGGCCTGGCGTGGGCTTCCCCGGGCCCAGGGGAGCAGTGCATAGATGGAAGTGTGTGGTGTGGGCCCCACCCCCGCCAAGGTCCCCCCTGCACAGGGTTTTGTGCCTAAGCTGCTCGGGGGTCTGGGCTCACCTAGGCATCTGAGAGATGAAGGGCACAGGCAGGGGTGGCCACCCTGCCTTCCCGCCCTCCTTCCTCCCTCACAGGGAGGCCTGGCGCATAAAAGGGGGGGCGGCAGGGTCCAGCCTGGAGTGGTGGCTGCCCCAGCTGCCCCCGCCCCCTGCTGTCCAGGGTCCCTACCAGGTGTGCTTCCAACAGTCCAGGGCCTGGGCTTGTGCACATGCAGGCGTGCACACACACACTTCAGGGATGGCAGCTGGGCGCACAGCCTGGGGCATCCTGGGATACACAGCCTGGGAGGCAGCGGGCAGCAGGAGGATGGCCCTGTGGGGCCATGCCCCAGCCGCAGGGCAGCAGAAAGGTTGGACACTGTGGCTGGTGGGAGAAGGGGCTTGGGAGGGTGAGTCCTGGGCCCACCTCATGGGCACGGCGTGGGGTGTGCACAGGGTGCTCTGACCCCGCTGGGCTCTACCAGCCTAGCCAGCAGATGTGTGGCTTGAGCTTCAGGTTCAGGCAGGAGGGCAAGTGCCCTTGGGCGGGGAAGGGTGGAGGCAGAGGCCCATCTTACCTGTGGGGCTCTGGGCAGGGGGAAGCAGGTGGAGCAGCCTCAGGGCTGACCAGGGCAGTGTGGGGGAACAGGGCTGGGATGGCTCAGTAAGTGCAGGTTTCCAGGCGCATGCCTGGCCAGAGCACTGGCTCTGTGGACAGCATGTAGGAGACGTGGGCGTGGCAGTGACACTGGTCAGAGCTGATTTGGAGGATAAGCTAGGGAGAGCCCCCAGGTGCTCATGACCAGGAGGAATTCCTTTGGAGGTCCTAGTTGCAGCCTCAGGTGAGGGCCGTGGAGGCTGGGGGTGGGAAAGGCACCGTTGGTGCTGGGAACTACCTCTGATATGGTAGTGAGGGTCCGGGCTGGTGGCTGGCCGGGAGCGAGGTGAGACCACGTGGAGGACTGGCCATTGTGCCTGAGGCAGAGCTGGGGGCTCAGAGGCCATGCAGGCAGGCAGGGAAGATCCCGAGACCACGTCCCAAGCCCAGGATGAGGCTGGGGTTTGGTGAGCAGGGAGGTAAGAGGGCCGTGGGAAAGTCTGTGCAGGGAGGGGAGACCATGGAGGGGGGTAAAGGGGAAGTTTGGGGCGGAGGAGAGAGAGGGCTGGGTGGACAAATCCAGGTGATGCTGTGCCCCACCCTGGGGAGGTGCAGGGCAGCTGGGCATCCCAAAGCTGGGCACATGCTCCCGAGGGCAAAGGCCTGAGCCGGCCCGGGTCGGCACAGGGGAGGTGTGAGGCTGGGACGTGGGGGTGTGTGGGGTAGGGCTTCTGGAACCGATGGCGTTACAGCCTGGTCTGGGGCAGAGGCGGGGCTGGCCAGGCGGGCTGCAGGAGACCAGCACGGAAGGTGGAGGTATCGGTAGGCAGCCAGTGCTCAGCCCTGGTCTGCGTGGTTGGAAGGCTGTGGGACCCAACATCTGGTCCTGGGCCGAGGAAGCTCTGGGCTGCCTCTACCCAGCTGCCTCTACATCGGCCCTCCTGTGCTGCAGGGCGGCAGGCTCGCCCCTGTGAGCCCAGCGCAGAGGGGCGCGTTACGGATGTGCCCACTGAGGCAGGCCCAGGCCACGCGGGTGTGCAGAGCAGGCGCTGCTCCCCAGAAGCCCCCGACTTCCTGCATGGGATGGGGCCTGACAGGGGACGGCCGCTGACCCTGCCCTGGAGCCAGCCTCGGGCTTGGTCTGGACACCGGTTGCCCACTGGCGCGCCTCCCTCTTGTCTCCCTCCTCCCCGTGGCCTGGTCTGGCTTTAAGCTCGATCTCCTCCTGGCGCGTCGCGAGCGGCTGGGATCGCAGGCATGCACACCACACCCGGCTAGGAACGCATGTTTAACGCATGTACAGTAACACTCGGGCTGGGTTTACACGAC